GTTGTCCCTCATGGCTGCCTCTAGCATTCAGATTTCTCCATCATCAGCTCCCTCTTCTTACCCTTTACTGGTGGAGTAACCACTGCTAAAATTGTTCAGTAACTGCTGATAAATTCTCCAAATGTTGTGTAAGTGGTCTTGCCAAGTGGTTTTCATGGTTTCCACAAAATCCAAAAGATTGGCTGGGTGTCTTTTCCCCTCTCTTTTTTTTTTTTTCCTTTTTTTTTTTTTTTTTTTTTTTTTTTTTTTTTTTTTTTTTTTTTTTTTTTTTTTTTTTTTTTTTTTTTTTTTTTTTTTTTTTTTTTTTTTTTTTTTTTTTTTTTTTTTTTTTGTTTTTGTCAGGGGAGCAGTGTGTGTGTGTGTGTGTGTGTGCATGTATGTTCCTCCAGTGATGCAGGTATGAAAAATTAGAGCTTTTCAGTTATCACGGGACTAATCAAACATGGTTTTTTGAAGTACCCAGCAGGCCCACCAGGAGTACAGACAGCCCCCACCTCAACTGGGGAGCTGTTCTGCAGGAGCTGCCACGGACAAGGATGGTGCTCACAGCTGCCTGCAGCTCAGTGTGTCTGAAATATGGTAGCAGAGAGGCAGAAGAAAGGAGGGGCAGATGTCTGTGGGGGGGATGGGGACCTCTTGATCTGGTTTGCTTTGCTTTCCTTTTGTCCCTCCTTGTGAAGTGGCGCAGCCTCTGACAGATCTCTACTTCACCCTGCTGTCACTGGTGTTAAGCAGGGACCCAGGGGTGTGAAGGGTATGTGGCTTTTCCTTACTGAGCCCAGTCTGTCATGGGTTAGCTGGAGAACTGTGCTGTTCCTGTTTCAGATGAATGAGACAGGGCCTTATCTGACCTCCCCAGACAAGAAATTGAGGCAAATTACCTGGTTTCTCTACCCCTTCTCCTCAGGTAGCCTGTATGAATTCTTTAAAATTGGTAGCTGTTGAAGACTGAGGGAAAAGTATTAAGATAAGTTGTAGAAACAGTAGAAGACAGAAACTCAACCTAGCTTGGGGCCTCACTATTTTTTTCTCTTTTCCTCCAGAGTCAACTGTTACATCTAGGATCTGCTCATCCCCATCACTGCTGAACTTCATCCTATACTTATCACCAGTTCTGGGCCTTCTCCTGGCCCTTGTTGCCTTTGGCTGGTACTGCAAATTCAGAAAAAGCAAGAAGGGCAACATCACAGGAAACCAGATGATAGAACTGTAAGGGGATACAGAGGCCAAGAAAACTTAGTTAGTCTATAGTGGTAGATGGAACTTGAAGAAGTGGAGCTGGACAGCTGAGGAGGACTGAGTAGTTGCAGAGGAGCTTTTTGTTGTTTTGTAGTAGCTCTTGCAATGAATCTTTGTTTTTGCTTTTGATGGAATGTAGCAGCTTTGAATTACTAAGCAAATAAGATTTTCATAACAAGTGTTCCTGTCCCTTAGGTACCCACCCATTTCATACTCTGTTCGTTGTGGTGTATTTGAGGTCCTTGCAGTATGTATCCCCCACTGTGTATGGAAGTGGTGTTATTCCTGTGCAGGAATGAGGGAAAAAACAGTTCTTTTTGCACTGTAACATGAAAGTACCAAATTGCTACTCATTTTAGGCATCTTCACAAAATTGATGTGGTATGCAGGCTAAAATCCAGCATCAGAGCTGGAAAAGGAGTACTGGTGTCCCATTTAAGGCATTGCACTCACCCTTGTCCACTCTTTTCTGGAGAAGACACTGCTGTTTTCACATTCTGAGAGCTCCTGTGCCCAAAGAGCATCTTGTCTGACAGCAAATGGGTCTTCATCACAAAACCTGTCACAGGACCACGAGGACTGAGTGCAAGGCTGGCTGGGCCTGAAGAAAGTCCATAGCAATGGTACCACAGCCATTCACAAAAAAAACCCAAATCCTGATGACCCAATAAAGGATTGGCATGGAGTCTTGGATCCTAGAAGGAAGAGGTGGGCACTAAGCCATCTTGAAGATAAGTGCACAAAGGATTTCCAGCTCCTTGCTTTGCTGGGACTACTGTAGGAGAAGACAGCATCCAGCCCCTTGTGCCTGGGCTGTCTGTGTGTCAGGAAGCTGCACAGCTGGGAGCTGGTATTAGACATGTGCAAGATGTACCATGTAATAAAAAAGCCCTGTGTGTTCTTGCAGGGTAGCTCCTCTATGCTCTGCAATCCAGCTCAGGCTTACCTTTCCAAAGCTGAGAAGCTCTGCCACCTGATGACTGTCTGGCTGATGCATTAGAGGAAAGGAGATTTCCATCCAGTCCCTACAAGTCAAGGGATATTCAACCCCTAATTGTGCAAAGTGGGATGTGGTCCCAGCGAGTTGCAAGGTCAGGTGTCAGATCAACACTCAAAGCACTGTCCTCAGACAAAAGTAACTGCATAGAAATCACAGTAGACATTTATGAACCTGCTTCCTTTGACCAAAGGGAGGTTTGGAGACACCACAGTCCCTCTAGATGATCCTTCATATTCTTTCTTCATTTTGCTGCCTGTCCTTGATCCTGAAGAACTGATAGGTGCTTCAGCTTCCTTCTTCTTGGAAACATGCTTTTTGCACACATTTGGAGACTACTGCTCCTGTTTCCCTATCAGCCACCTCTGTACTGGCTGCCTCCAGCTTGCTCAGCCTTTCCCTGTGAAATATGTTTTCTGGACCCCTGTGCAGCTTTTCCCTTTCCTGCCCTGACCCCAGCTGTCTCTCTCACAGAGTGAGTGCACAGAGCTGCACGTGGGGCTCCCTGCAGAGGTTTCTGCCTTGCCTTGTGGATTATGTCCCACTTGCAGATCCCAGTAGGATGTTTGATTTTCTGTGTGCATGTGACTGGAGCACTGTTTGCACTTGGCTCACAAGCATCAGGCTTCTCTCTTTGCAGATTTGCTATCTAGCAAGTTGTTCCTCCACTGTGTTGAGCCTGTTGACTTTTCCTATCTAATTGGAGCACCGTTTGCATGGGTATGTGGAACAGCTTTCAGCACCAGTTTGTGAGATTCTGCTGTTTGTCTGAGCCCTGTCTCAATAATACTTTAACTTATGGACCAGTTTCAGTCTGTTTGTCAGAGAAGCAGATGCTCCCAGGATGCTAAACTCCTGCAAGTTTCATGAAGTGGTAGGTGGATGAAGGAGACAAGACAGGCAAATTGTCCCTGTCCAAGGGAAGGCTGCAGTGTGAGTTGGCTGCCAGGCAGCCCTATGCTGGCTGCTTGGTGCCTGGCTCATATTTAGGGGACACAGAAAGGAGATGTAGGTGTGTTAGGCCACAGAAAAGGAAAGAACGAACTGCTTTTGACTATCAACTATTAACAATTAATCTGTGCACATAGTTTATCTGCCCATTTTGTGCTGTTCCTCCATGTTTTAATTTGGATTGTTTTCTTAGCTTGCCCAAGAGTACCTTGGGAGTATACTTCACAAACCTTGGCAAAGTCAAGAATATATATGACACCTCCTGCTTACCCCTTCCACAAGGCTTGCAGTCTTCTTGCAGGAGGGGCAGGTCTGACATGCTCTGTTTTTGTTTAAAACAAACAAGTTTCTTTTTTCTTGGATTCTTCTAGGTACTTGTGAGTACTTTGTCTTTGTATCTCTCTGAGGATTGCAGTTAATAAGACGAGGGTGTTTCATTTCTTCTTTTTAAATATAATTTTATCCCTTTCTTGTCACTTGATGTCTCACACCTCCTCAGGTGTTAGCACAGCAAACCACTAACGGATGTCTTGACAACCCATTCTTTATGTGACTTAGATGGTCTTGATGAAGGTCATCCTTTGTCATCAAAAATCTGACTGATTTGGTTGCTACTCCTTACCAGAGTGCTGGGAACAGTCCCTACACTGATGCAGTTGTCATTTGTCTGGGTCTCTCTCCATTAGCCCTGTGAGTGACCTGGCTGGGCTTGGTGAACCTCCAAGCCTGTGCTTGGCTACCTTGGCATTCCATTGTGGGTCTGTGAAAGCATCTTTGCTGCCATCTGATCTTCACATTAAAAG